TATATATATATATATATATATATATATATATATATATATATATATATGTATAATTTTTATTTTATTTATTTATTTATTTTTGAGTAGTTCTACAAAACTAGTGACTGAAAATATTTCTCTAATGGTTTAAGATTGTTTTGCAGGGACACCAAGGGGTTGGTTCAGGCACTATTGCAAACCCTGGAGACTTGGATGCTTTTAAGAGGCAGCAGGCTATGGGTCAAACAGGTAGGGCAAAGATCGTTGACTCCTGTCTCTCCTGTTGCTTTGTTCCCCCGTTTGCTTTGTTTTTTTGTTTGTTTTCTTTTCTCCTTCTAATTGCTTCTGCTTTTAGATATTTGGCAACCTCTACTAGCGCTTTGTGTTGAAGTCTAAAACCAAGGAAGGAGAGGTGACCTGTAAGGTCTTCAGAAGGTCATTGTCCTGTGCAGAGTGCCTTTTTTGCGTTATGAGGGTATTGTGTGTTTTAAATCCCAGATCAGGCTAAGAGGCCCCGGATTGACGTTGGTCGCCGTGGGCTGATTTTCCAGCATCCTGGTGTAGCTCCTTTAGGATCACCTGGCGTTCCACTTCAGCAGCTAATGCCGACTGCGCAAGGTAGGAGTGCTACCACCAGGCCGTTCTTTGTTCTGTTCGATGCTGCTGGATCTATGCCCTTCCTCAGACTAAGGAGAGTGAATTTGAATTACCGGTGCAACATTCATCTTCTACAAACAAACTTCAAGCAGCATCAACATATTGATCTTCAACCATCTGCTTGATTTCTCAGCAGTCCACAGAAAGTTCAGGCTTAGCTGTACCAGTACCAGCTCTCTTTGTCAGGCTAAATGGGAAAGAAGACAATCCCAGTGTCTGAAGAAGAGTAGTCACTCAATGGGAAGATGCCATGTCGTCTTTTTTTGTTCCTGTTGCTCGCCTGTCGTTATTCATCTCTTTTTTTTTTTCCCCTCAAAGTTTGTTCTGGCTAGTCTTGTTCGAACAGACCTTCCCACGCTGATGGATTTTCATCTAATTTGAGGTGGATCACAAAAAGTGGGAATCCTCTGGGAATTTTTCCACTTTCCAATGGGTATTTCTCCTTTCCCATTGTATAAATCCACCTGACATGCTTATGTTGGGTTTTCCATTGTCATTCCTTTGCCAGTCTTTTTGTCTACCATCGTCTATCTTTGAACCGTCAATTTTGATTCAAAGTCATTTCATCACCATCAGTCGGTCTTGCAGAGCGTTTTTATCTTCTGATCATTTTTAGTTGGCTTTCTTCCATGTTGTGTCATGACATTTTGTTCTGATTTGGCTTCTTTCCCTCAACTTAAGTAGGAGGAGGATCATTTGGAGGAGTTTTGTTCACGGCTCAAGTTTTTGCGATTTTGGTGGTGTAGGTGTGTCAGGGCCAGGTGTTGATCGCAAGGTGATGTGACGTGCAGGGAGGTAAGGCAGGTGCTGCTTCAGTGTGCACAGCTCTGCTCAGGCTTGCTGTCTGCAAACCCCATGTGTGTCCTTTTACTCACCTCTGTGCTTTGTCGCTGTGTGAGGCATCCAGATGCCTTGGTTGCCGCAACAATGACATTGCTTCATGCATGCTACACATATGCTGTTTTAGTGTCTGCTTTGTAGTTTTTCTCCCCTTTTTTCCCTGTCTTTATTTTCAAAACCCTTTTTTTTTTTTCATTTTTATTAGTAACATTTCAATTTCTTCTCTAAAACGTCTTACTGCATGTACAATTTTTTGATGTTTTAAACACATTCTCTCTGCATTTGAAATGCAATGTTTTGATTTTGCATTAATCAAAGTAGTGTTTCATTTGAGAGACATGTAGATTCTCATATTGATTTCATTTCTTCTGTAACCATTTTGCTGTATGAGTTTCATTAGTTTTGCTCGGATCATCAAGGACTAGTATTCTACTGTTAATGACTATCTAGTTAATTAAGAGAAGGTTACAGGAGCTGTAAGATTTAATGTGCACACTGTTATTTAAAATAAAAAGTAAAGTTTAATTATTTATTTACTAGATTCAAAATCTACAAAACGGTCTCTCATATTATCAAATACAAACTACTAAATACCTAATGGAACTAAAATAAATTAGGAAAGAGAAAAACAAAATCTGTAAAAAACCATTTAACATGTCAGAATTTACAAATGGATTTTTTTTTTTACTTTTTTTTTTCTGGTGTTGCTCTCTGTACTACTTTTGTCCTATACTTTGGTTGCCATGTATACAGGTGGTATGCCACCTACTCCTCAAGCCGTCCAGATTGCAGGACAGAAGCAGAGCCAGCAACAGTACGACCCATCTAAAGGACCACCTGTGCAGAATGCTGCCAGTCTGCACACACCCCCACCCCAGCTACCCAGCAGGTTGCCTCAAGGGACCCTCCCTATGGCAGGCCTACCTATGGCACTCTCTCAGCAGGTTCAGTTAGTGGAGAATATTTCGCAATCTGGTGGGCAGCTCCAGGCACCAGTTCAAGTCCAGGCAGGTGGGCCTGTCATGGCTACTGTGAACCCCCACACACAGCTCCAGACCCAGCTACAGCAGCAGATACAGCAAGGTGTTCATATTCAGTTGCAGTCCCAACAGCAACAATCCCAAACCATTCTACAGGCAGGACAAGCGGTCAGTCTGTTTTTGTTTTATATATTTTTTTATTTAATTTTTTACACACAAGTAAATCGATGATGTAATCAGTCTTTGAAAACTGACAACACTCAGGCATAGAGCATGTTGTTTTTTATAACTTTATTTACTTACAAACTTTGTGTCAATTTTAAATCGGCGTCTGCACATTTTAGTTACTATCAGATTATTCAAAATATGGTTATAACATATAGTCACTCATTTTCATAGTATAAACATCATGTCAGAATTTTTTTCTCCCTTCTCCACAGACTGTGACACTTGCTCGCCCTGGTGCAGATCTAAACCAACCGGTACAGAGGATTATGACCAACTCTGTACCATTAACGTCTGTGTCGTCTGCTCCCCTGTCCACTTCAAACTCTAATCCATCTCCCCAACCAACAAGTTCTCTCCGTCCTCTTGGCTCTAACATTAACCCAAGCACCCAGTCCAAACTAACTGGAACCAACGGGGTATCTGCAGTCAAAACAGGTAGCTTTGGCCAAAATACCACCATGCAGTCCTCGCAAGATGGCGCTCAAGATAAACAAGTGGAGCAGGTTAAACTGGTGAGTTTTGTTTACACTTGTTTTTTAATACAAAATTTTTAGCTTTAGCCTTAGTCGCTTCTCCACGGGATGGCTTTAATCAGTTCGTATAGTCTCAGCTTCAGCCAGTTGTGTCTCCATTACCTGTTCTTACTCGATTCCTACCTCAGCGAGGTAGGTTCTAAGCGAGCCAAGCTGAGGAAGCGATTTTCACATCAACAAACTGCAGCTGTTGATTGGCCCGTGGATTCACATCACTGGATGAGCCAAGGCTGTATTTGCAAACTCCTCCTGAAGCGCCATTTTCAATTCGATTGTTGCAGAACATACTTTCCTGAGATAGAGATGATGAGCTGCAAATCCATGGAATCCCATGGACCAGTGATGAGGTGCAAACGTTTTTATCCATTTTGGCTGATGAGCACATACAGCGTGAGCTCGGCGGAGCCATAATGAACGAGCGAATGTACAGAGTCAGAGTTTCTTTATTTGTCATTCACACCACCTGTGGTACATGTGGTGGAACGAAATTGTGTACACATCCCAGTTATATCCAACAAAAGTATAAAATGTAAAAGAAAAACCGTAATAAGATCTAAGATATGAACTAAGAAAAACGTTAACTAAAAATACGCTAAGCACTAGTAGTACAAAACAATACGCCGAACAGCAGCATGAACATGAGTCTGTGTGAACAGATGAGTATGAATGAACACAGCAACACGAAACGATCAGCTTCATGATGTGATTTTTCACAGTGATTATTCTGGTTAGATATTCATGAGTCTGACAGCCTCAGGGTAGAAGCTGTTCCTCAGTCTAGTGGTTCTACACTTAATGCTCCTCAACCTCCTTCCTGAGGGGAGCGGGGCAAAAAGTGTGTGTGCTGGGTGAGTGGGGTCCTTCATGATGCAGGAGGCCCTCTTCGTGCATCTTGAGGTGCAGATGTCTGTGATGGTGGGGAGGCTGACTCCAACAGACTTCTGTCATGAGGTGACTGGAAACTGGCCGCCCATGGCTACACATTAACAATGGAATAGAGGCTTTTGTCTAACCTTTAAAAATAATAATTTACCTCAGGGAACATTCTGTTCTATAACAGGCTTTATTTCTTAAAGAATATAATTGTGTCCACAGTGTGTGCAGGATTTTTGGCAGATTACTGCTCTGGTCTAATTTTTGCACATTTTCAAAATTTAAAAGCTTACAAATTAAAATGGTAATCATGTTTAAAGTTGTGAAGCAAATTTTAACCAAAAAGCAGGGGTAAATTCGTACCCACCTCACCACCATACGAAATCTGAAGACAGGTAAAACTGCTGAAGAAAATGATTTCTGAAGCAATAAATGAAAGGCTTTTGGCTGGAAAACTTGTAATTAACTGGTCTGTGCTTTTATCAAAGTGCCAACAAAGTGGAAGAGAAATGAGTTGCTCTCAAGATTAATTAGCTAAATGCACCTCTTAAAATTCAAACTTCTGTTTTTGTTTAAATGTTTTTTCCGGCAATGCTAGAAGGTCTTAAAATATTCTACTACTAGTATTATTACTTTAGAATTAATATTTATTTTCTATTACTAGTACTTTTGGTACCAACAAGCAATATCTGTAGAAGTGGCCGAACAATGACGAGGTCCACTTCAATCGGACTCAAGAGCCTTTGGGCCGTACTCGGATACAAATTTCACAGATATAGGGGTCCTGTGTTTGTGGCTGTCATTGATGGCCCATTAGAAATGGAAACCTACAGGCGCAGCTGCCTTTCCCACTGACAATTTTTGAAACACCAAAAATATTATATACAGTTTGTTTAAAAAAAAAACTAGGGGCAAGTCCACACATTTGTTTTTTGTTTTGTAAATTAATCTGTACAAGTCAAAATGACAAAAATGCTTTGAATAGTGTAGTTAGAAATTATTTTTACAATACACTATATAAATCTAATAAATGCTGTGAATTTGTTGACATTTTTTGTTCATCCTGCGTTTTGACTATAAAAGCAAATACCATGCATTTTCTAATATTGTTAAAGTTGCCTGTGCGGAAAGTTTAAAATAATTAAACTACCAGTTCATTAAAGTTCCTAATAATCACTTGTTTGTTTTTCATCATCAGGGTTTGATCTTGTTTTGTATTATTTACTAATGTGGTATATTTATCTAGACTGACCCTGGGTTTTTTGATCTGCTCAGAGATGGGATTATAATTCAATTTTGACCCGGTTCTGACTGGTTTAAATGGGGCCAGCAACTCTAGAGTCTCCCAGGGATTCAATATCCATCAAGGAATAGAGTTCATTTTGCTTGCTGCATCACACAGAAAGGCTTTGAAGCACCATCTCATTTTTCCTTTCACGTTAACTCCCATAAGATCCATTGAGATCACACTTAGTCACTCCCCCTCATACACAGTTAGGTTGTGCTCCCCTTCTGCGAAGGAGGAGTCTAGGGCCTATAAATCTGGAATGCGATGGGACATCCGACCCTTCCGGTTTCTGATCTCGTGTCGGGTACCAGAACCGGCCAGCACTGTAAATTGTAACCTTTTCCTGCCTTGATTTTAATACAACTGGTAAAACTGAATTCACGTTTCCTTGATTTATTGATGGTGTGATTTGCCGCTTCTGAGGGAGGTCCGAGCTGTAGGAACAGTGTGGGCTGGGGGCGGATCTGGGGTCCGAGAGGAGGCCTGAGGCCCACGGCTAGCAACAGCTAGCTGCTATGACCTGTGACCCGCATCCAGCTCTTGTTGTAACAGCAAAGTTGTGTGGTTCAACTCTAAATTTATTATTGGAGTAGTTGAGATGAGAGTGATCGTCCTTTTTAATATTCTGATAAAATGTTGTGTTTCTGTGTCCTAGGAAAGTCAGGTGCATCAACGTATTTCAGAGCTGAGGAAGGAGGGTCAGTGGTCAGCTAGCAGACTGCCCAGACTTGTAGAGGCTTCTCGTCCAAAGTCCCACTGGGACTACTTGCTGGAGGAGATGCAGTGGATGGCAGCAGACTTTGCTCAGGAGAGAAGATGGAAGGAGGCTGCTGCTAAGAAGGTTTGACTGTCATGAAATAATTCATAAACATAAATTACAGATTAGCACAACAAAAGCAAAGTAACACCATGCAGTGACACCTTTTTAAAAAAAATACTTCGTGTTTTCGTTGCAGCTTGTTCGCACATGTGCACGTTACCATCAAGAGCAGACAAAAAGTGAGGACAGATCACAGAAAGAAAGGGAAATTCATCTCCGTCACATTGCCAGCACAATTGCCCGAGAGGTGGAATTTTTCTGGTCAAACATTGAGCAAGTATGTGTGTATTTAGTTATGACCTTTATTTATGAACGTGTCATGATTCATGTATGGTCTTGTTTTTATTTGCTGTAAATGAGAAATTTTATCACTAAGGTTGTGGAAATCAAACTCCAGTTTGAAATTTATGAGAAGAGGCTCAAAGCACTTTGTTTACAAAAAGCTACAGGTATGTCTCACCAAACAATAAAAATAACACTTTAGCTCTGTATAATAAGCTTTTACTTTCCCATATGGCAAATGAAATAAAAATGTCACCATCTCAGATAATATCATAGTTTTACCGAATAAGAATAATTCTGTACTACAGTCATTCACAAAGGCTTTTTTTTATTATTAAATAGAAGCTTTTTTTTGTATTAGAAACTTGAATCCAGCAAAACTGAGTAATTATCTTTGTGTGGTGAAATCTACAGCCCTGAACTGTACCAGCCTATTAACACTAAATTTATTGCACTTCCATTTCAGTGTCTGGACAGACAGGAGATAAAGTCAATAAAGCGGTAGGTGCTGCACCGACTGATTAGAATTAATAGTGAAGCAAAAACCCGTATCTCATTTTGTATTTTATTGATGTATAAACTGTTCTTTTGTCCATTTTGCAGGAGGGAGTCACCTCTGCTAAAAAAAGAAAATCAAGTTTGTTCTTGATTGATGAAGATGGTATTTGTTAGTTTAAGGTTTATATTGCAAAAAAGTCAAAGCTGAATAATCATTATTTTAATTGCTGTCTTGTTTTTCTCTTTCATTTAGTCTCAGATGAAGAGAGCACCATAGAGGAGCAGGAACTCATGGAAGGTCGTATAGACCACAAAGCAGAATTGAATGCCCTCGCCAAAGACGGTACATGCTTTTACGTCCGCATAAAACCACTTGTGATTTTCTTTTTCAAATGCTATTTTATTTGAATAAATATGTCTGTGCTGTAGGCAGGCTTAACGGTTTGTCTTTCTCTGAGAAAATTGCACCCATGTTCTTATATATTCAGTATTCACAATAAACTATTGCATCAAAAGTACAAGTAAACCAGCTTAGACGTTAATATTAGTCCAGTCACAATAAAATAACCTATTTACAAACGACACAAAGCTTGCCTGTTGCACAGCTTAACCACCCCAAATTATTAGAGTTCAAATTCCTCACTGTGACACTTCTGAAACTGAGTTGACAGGAAGACAAAAATGCCTTTTGTAAACTTGAAATCCCATTATTCAAACGATCACCTGCAATAGGTGAACCCAAATCATTTTGAATACTTAATTAAACTGAACCATTGCGATAAAAGAGTAGATTTATTATCAGAGCTTTTATGATTTACATGAAACATTTGGGCTTTGGTTCACAATAATTCTCCTTGAATTAAATAAAGTGAGAAAAGTGATTTGCTCCTTTAGGTAGTTTGCAATTTCAGAGGCCTGTGCAGCTTCTCATAGTTTGACATCATCCTTGAAAAAATGTTAAATGAAAATTCAGATGTATGGAATTAGATTGCATGTTCTCCTTCGTAGCATTGGTTTTGATTAGGGGTGCATTTGATTTGCAGTTTTCTGACCGATCACCGATTTTAAAAAAGTCTGACCTGCCGATTCCGATCTTGGCTGATACCGATTTTGTTTTATAAGCGACACTGTCAGGTGTTATACCCCTAGTTCTGATGTCTCACCCATAGTGAGACATCTCATTCATGCTATGAGAACCAAGCTTATGCAAGTGACCAAAAGATTTTATGCTAATGTTCGTGGGATGAGGACAACAACACAGTTGATGTTTTTTATTGTATTATTTGCATATTTTTAATCCATGTCATACATTTGCCAGAATTACTTTAAAATGTCTTTGTTGTTAATTTTTATTTTTATGTATTTATTTTTTTAGCTGAGATGTCTCTGGATGCTTTGAAGAAACAGTATGCTGGAGCTTACGCTGAAAGTTTTGAGTGGCCTCAGCCAAGTCCTCATAGTGACGAGGGTGACATGGAGGAGACTGAAGGTACCTTAGCGATCAGAATTTAGTCCTGTTAAACCAAATTTTATTCATGTATGTCATGAGAGTAATGTCCCTCTAAAATATATCTTTGTTTTCCAGGAATGGAATGTGCTTCAGGCAGTCCACCTCAAGCTGTTTTGATTGACTCCCTGCTTAGTATGGACCAGTATCGTGGTGCAGATAAAGCCACGTCTGACTCGAACAGGAAGCTGGGCAGAGACATAGCTGAAGTGGCTGCTGCCACAGAACTACTCTTGCCTAAAGGCAGCCTCAGAACCACATCATCAGTAAGAAAACAGAAAATCTCAAACATTAAAATAAGCTTTATATGTTATGATTTTAAATTCCATCTTTTTTTTTTTTAGACTCGCAGCCCAGCACCTTTTCTATTGCATGGAGTGCTGCGAGAATATCAGCAAATTGGTGTGGATTGGCTGATAAACCTTCACAAGAAACAGCTCAATGGCATCTTAGCTGATGAAACAGGGCTTGGCAAAACTGTACAGACAGTGGCTTATATGGCCCACTTAGCAGGTCAAGAGGGTATGTTGATATTTAAAGATGCTCATAAGCATTTTACAGGGTATACCTTATTTAACAACTAAACATTTGCTGATTTTATCCACAGGCATCTGGGGTCCCCATCTTATTATAGTAAGAACATGTAAGCTGCTAAACTGGGAGCTGGAGTTCAAACGCTGGTGTCCTGGCCTTAAGCTTCTCCTGTACTTGGGCAATAGAAAGGAACGCAGATCTAAAAGACTGGTATTCATGCCATTTAAACATGTTTCTGATGTTACTTAATCTAAAACCAATTTTCTTTTTTTAAGTTCTCTAGTCACAGTAACAGATTGTTTGACCTGTTTTTACAGTTGTGGGATGAATCCAACAGCTTCCATGTATGTGTGACATCATACAAGCTTCTAATGAAAGATCAGAGCCATTTTCTGAAGAGAAGATGGAAGCATCTGGTTCTGGACGAGGTCCAACTCATCAAAAACGTTACGCAGAAACACTGGGAAACAATCTTTGCTCTCAAAAGGTGAACTGCTTAATAAAATATAATGATTTATTATCAGTGCTTTTGTGTAGTCTTGAAAATCCAATCAACTTTATTTGTAAAGCACTTTATACTCCACAGCAGACCGAAGTGCTGTACAGAACTGCATTAAAACACAGCTCGTACAAATGTGTTTAAAAACACAGGTGAAATAAAAACATTTAATTAAAAAACAGTAAAATGCGTAAGATCTGATCAACAATAAAAACAATCAAACCTACAAAAATAAAAATCAGGTAAAAATAAATAAAAGCAACCCTTTACAAAGTGTTAAAATCCAAAGAAAACAAATGGCTTTTAAGAAGTTAAAAAAAATTATATATTTATTTATTTATTTATTTATTATAATGGATCCTAAAATACACGAGCAGCCAGTGGAGTGAAGATAAAATGAGAGAGTGCTCATATTTACGTGTGTTACTTAAAAACCTACGTGCAGCATTTTGGACCCTCTGCCATCGGGTGATGGAGGACCCACTAACCCCCAGATGTGTGTTGCAGTAATCCAGCTGGGTGGTAACAAAGGCATGAAATTACTGTCTCAAAGTTTCTTTTTAGGAATACGCTAGCTGTCTCAAATGATAAAAACTTCTTTTAAGATCTGCCAGTCTTAAGTTTAGGATCCAGTTCAACCCCTAAATTCCTAACAGTCAATTTGCCCTGAGATGACTTCTGTTGTATCTTGGAGCTATAAACTGAATTGAATTGTACTGGGTCAAGTAACTAGATCTACAGGGGAGGGCCTCCCATGTGTCAGTATCCTCCTTTTTTGGGGGGTGAAGTCCCTCAAGGCACAGTTTTATGCCCACTTTTGTTTTTATCTGCTCCATACTCGGAAGAAAAAAAATCCAGTTCAACCCCTAAATTCCTTACTGTCAATTTGCTGTACTGGGTTAAGTAACCTAGATCTAGAGGGGAGGGCCCAGCAGTACTGTATCTCCAAAAGCCATCACTTCTGTCTTGGTTTAGTTAAAACTTTAAAGAGCCAGCCAGGCCTTTATGTCCTCAAGACACCTTAAGATTGGAATGATTGAATATGCCTTTGACTTTTTAAGAGGGACATGAATCTGACAGTCATCAGTGTAATAACAGAATACAATTTTGTGTTTTCTGAGTATGGAACCAAGTGGCAGCAGATGGAGATAAAACAAAAAATGGGCCTAAAACTGAGCCTTGGGGGACTTTACAAAAAAAAGAGAAGAGGAGGATACTGACCCATCAAGACCAACAGAGTTTGTCAAACTGGTTGCCAAATAAGACCTGAACCATTTTAAGACGACACCCCCGATCCCCACTCACTGCTCCAGATGAGTTAGCAGAATGTCATGGTCCACAGTGTCAAGAGCAGCTGTTAGTCTAAAAGCACAAGGATGGCACAGTCGCTGGTGTCGGTAGCTAAAAGGATGTCATTAAAAACTTTTAAAAGAGCCAATTCAGTGCTGTGGAGAGCTTTAAAACCAGATTGAAAAACCTTAAGGATGTTGTGCTCTGCAAGAAAGACAACTGTGTGCACAACCTTCTCGAGGGCTTTGGTGATTAAAGAAAGTTTAGAAATGGGTCTAAAATTATTCCAGTATCCTTTAAAATAAATTGCTATAACAAGCAGTGTTGTCCATAACGTGTGCATAAAAGAGAAGTATAGTTTTTATGTTTATGATCTTTTAGTTCACGTATCAATCAAATCTTGAGTTTATTATTTAGCCATTCTTACTTTGTATTTTGTTTTCCTGGGAACTTGCAGGTGAATACTCAAACAGCTTTAAATGTGCCATGGGAGGCAGGACATCAGTTGATAGAACAGATGACTCTAATGACCAGATTTTGGTTTAGTCTACATCCTCTTTTTATGTTGACTAGTCTTTGGAGAACTGTAAATGTCAAGTTACTCCCAATAGCAGAACTTTGGATATTAGCCATTTGTCAAATGCAAAGATGTAGTAAAACATTCTGTGACTCTTGCTAAAGTTAGCCCAGCTCTGATTCATATAGACCTTATTCTTGTGGGAACATAGTCTTGTTTAATTGAAGAACAATACTTGAATTATGTGACTGACACCGTAAACACCTTCAGAAAACAAGTTGCTGCCCCATCTCTCCTCCAATTTGTCTTGTAAAAAGTGTTCATCTTTAAAAATAAAATATACGTAGGGTTCATGGAATATAGTAATATATACTAGTTTTCCCAAACTAGTTGCTCATTTGTAAACCCTGTTAATAACTAAGCATGGTGTTTGTTAAAACTGTCAACACAAAAAGCTGTTAAGTCAAGATATGCACACGTTGGAGTAGGTTTTTGCAAATTATTCCAGTTCGTCCTTGTTTTTATAAAAACTTGATATTTTTTCTAAATTCCTTTTAACATGACTGAGAGATTCCTGTACATCTTTCAGTGAGCAGAGGGTTCTCCTTATCAACACTCCTCTACAAAATACTCTCAAGGAGTTGTGGACCATGATCCACTTCCTGTTGCCAGGAATCACCAGGCCCTTCTGTGACTTCCCTGTTAAGGCAGGCACAGACCAGAACCAGGACTACTGCCACAAGCTAGTCATCCGCCTGCACAGGGTGAGTATAGTGCCTGCATATTCCTCTGCTTTTTAACTCACATTTGATGACTTTCACATGCAGCGTACTTGCACATGCATATTAAAGTTTGTTTTACTTGTCACTGTAGATGATCCAGCCATTCATCTTGCGGCGCTCCAAAAGAGACGTGGAGAAACAGCTTCCCAAGAAGTATGAACACATCCTGAAGTGTCGTCTGTCCAGCAGACAGAAAAGCCTTTATGAAGACATCCTTACTCAGCTGGGGTAAATAATTTCACCTATCCCTCATTTTATAGTCATATCTCCTTAACGTCTAATATTTGATCAGGTCACATTTCTGTTAAAGTGTCACTGTTTCTCAGTATAAAAATATTTTGTAAATCAGAGCAGTTACCGGTATAAATAAATCAAAGCTGAGAGGTAAAGTCGCAACACCTCACATTATTTTATTATGACAGTGCGTTTATCATTTAAACAAACAAAAAGCAGACATGAATCAAGTTGTACATTTTGTGATTACTTTATTTCATTTGTAATCAAGACTTTCGTACTTTCCTCCAAGGACTCAGGAGGCTCTGAAGACGGGTCATTTTGTCAGCGTGCTCCAGGTTTTGATGCGGCTGCAGCGAGTGTGTAACCACCCTGAGCTGGTGGCTCCCCGAGAGACCAGCAGCTCTTACTTCTGTTCTTCTCTTCAGTACAACGTCCCATCGTTGGTTCTGGAAACTGTCAGGAATCAGTCAAGCAAGGTGCAAAGAAAGTCCAAAAAAATCAAAATTGTTTAGTAATTAGCAGAATTGAATTGCATATCATTTTAATGAATGTTGTTAAAGTACAATACTTGTGTTTTGAGGATGTAAAGATTTTTTTTCCCAACATCTTCTATGTATGAGCATTTTAATCCAAAAAATAATAATAATTGCCAATGATTATTCCATTTTTATTCAAGTTGTGTTTTTTATTTATTTGTTTGTTTCCTGCTGTTGTTCTATTTTTTTTCATGGGTAAGTAGTGGTGGATGTGTTGAAAATAGCAACACCAACTAGAAAAGCACCATTAGGTGGTTCTTGTGGTGCTGGTGTAAAACTAATAATAAGAAAGAACATTCATGATCACTGCATTAATACTTGGAATTTTCCCATTTTACTCAACTTTGAATATTTGTAAAATTACCACTCATCCCTAGATTTTGCCAGTATCATAATTTGGTTTTAAGTTGATAATAATTACAGAAGACTTCTCTTTAGGCTACGGCAGCTTTTTAATGGCTTTCTAGTTGATCGGTTCTAAAAGCAGAACATTTCCTGTTTTTAATTCTCTGTTGTTCCTGATCATAGTGTTGTTGTTTTTTTTTTGCAATATTTTGATTTGGAGTACAAACAAACTGTATAATCTGTTTGCATTGCTACACTTATACTGTTTTATGTAATTGTATTTTTTATTATCATCCTAGATTGCAAACCTGTCCATATTTGATTTGATCAATAATGAGAACAGACTAACTCGGTATCAGACTGAAGAGGCAGTACCCAAACTAAAGGTCACTCAGCAGCTCATAGAGGAAATCTACACGAGCCCAGACCAGCCACCAAGACCCAAACCGTGTCCCATTAAACCCATGAGGTCAGTTCTAACATTACCCATGTAGACAATGGTGTGTGTCAAAAGTTTTAACATTATGATAAAGTGTTTGTTGCATTTGCACCAAATTACTTTTTACAGATTGTTCCAGCCAGTTCAGTATGGCACAAAGCCAGAAGGCCGCTTGGCTGCTATTGGAAATGCAGCAGGCCAGCGCCCTCCCACTAGCTCCCCCCAAACCAGTACTTCAACCTCCCTCTCCAGCCAGTCAGGCCAAACCAGGGGCAAGTCTCCTGTCACGACTGGAACGACGACTCCCACTTCTCAAGGTAAGAATCCATGAACAGTGTTTGGTAAAACAAAGGGAATTTGTTTTTAATATCACTTAGGGAGCTCCTGATTATCTGCATCAGATTGTAAGGCCGTACTTTACCTCTTATACTATAGTTGTTGTACAGTTTGGTACTTTAACTCCTGTCCTGTTACAGTTTTTGTTGTTGTTTTTTTGCTTGTGATGTGTGCATTATTCAGTTTTATGCTGCATGATTTGAGATGCTGTTTTGAAGTAACTGAATTAGATCAATTCTTTTTACTGTATTGTGCATAGAGAATTAATAATAAACCTACTGGGTCATACAATATATACAAAACAGCAGAAAATATGCACTGACACATTTTAGGTACTGTCCTGCAGTTTTGAAAGATAAATGCTTTCTCCTTCATTGAATTCTGAATTTTGATCCTCTTTAGCAGGCGGAAGTCATGAAGTCTTAATCCGTTTAAGTTTATACTTCAGTGCAGCAGTGGTGTGTGGGCAACATTGCTTTTCCCTGGAGGTAGCACCGCTTTCATGAACATAATAGACCACTGAAGCTATAGGTTCCCATGCTCCCAAACGCATATTTCATTTCTGTTATTTGGTATTACTTTGGTCTATAACTGCCTTTTGATGACAATTTAAATAAAATGCATTGAGTTAGAGATGCTGAAGTTGCATACCATTCTATTTTTTATGCAAAAAATGATAAAATAAATGGTTCATTGTTTTTAAAAAACATTGAAGCTATCTGAAATTGACTTGGCAATTGTGCTTTTTGCATTTTATTTCGACAAACTTTCTCTGCAAGAAAAGACAGACATAGTGTTTGGATTATTTAAAGTAAATAATTTGCAACAAATTTGACATTTTATGTTTGTGTTTGTTTTTATGTTGTGTTTTTAGAAAACATAACATCCCTTTTCATTGCTATGCTGATGATATTCAGTTGTATTTGCCCATTAAGTTAGACAGGGTCACACTGGAATTTGTCAGAACAAATTACTTGTGTTCGTCTTGCTTTCATGCTACAGCTGACACGTGATGCTCATTACAGGTGGAACTCCAGCTCTAATCTTTATTTCAATTATCTGAGATTATAGGATCATAATTATCATGAGGTGTTCCAAAAACAAGTTTCACATGTATTTGAATTCTTCATACTGCAATCACAACTTATTATTTTGTATTAGTCACTTTTTTGTACTAATTTTTCTTGTGAGTGGCAATACCATTTCTCATACTGTTAGCCTGATACTGCAGAGTGAATAAATATAAACAAAACAGGTTGATCTCAATGATCTGACTAAATATTGGGTGAAACCTAACATGGAGTCCCATACCCATTGCCTTGTACTTCACAGCCATTGGAACAGCTACTCAGAGAGCCCAGGCTACTCCTCCTGTCAGCAGCAGCAGCACTGCAGCTTCCTCTGGGAGCATCGGCAGTGGGCAGCATGTGCTGGGGGCTGTTACCTTGGGTCAGACCTTAGCTGGAACAGTTGTGGGCTCTGTGGCTCCAATCAGCCAGCCTGGATTAACACAGGTCGCCAGGCCAGCTTTAGCCCCCAGCCATGCCATCCAGCCCAGCCTATTGTCCCAGAGGTTGGTTCTTACATCTCAGGCCCAGGCACGGTTGCCTAGTAAGTGGCCTGTTCTCCCCTTCATCTAAACATTTTCCCTCCACCTCTGTCACAAAAGTTTTGGCTGCTGTAGAATGAGGCCTTTACTTGAGACACTGCTGATCTGTCTTTTTTTTGTCTCAGGAGGTGGGCCAGTGTCGTGTTTAATTCTTTTTCAAGTTCTTGTGTAAAAGTCCATTTAGACCTGTGAGCCATATCAGCAGCGTCTCAACCACCTCTGGATGCCCCAGTTTCTTTCTTGTCACCTGCATGTACACTACGAATGTCCCACTTATGTCACACCTCTCATCACTGCGCTTTTCTTCAATGAAGCATCCAGGGTTTTTCAATCTGGTTCCGATTTTCCTCTCTATGTGGGTGCAGAACATTTATCAACACAAATATCTTTGCAGAAAGACTCTTTAAGTTGTAGGATGCTGTGAATCATCACTGCAAGAGTCAGTGAGGCAGTCATGCAAGGTAGGGTTCAAGCTGATGCGTTTGTAGCTGACAGGGTCAGGGTGTTTATGAAAAACATTTCTACTGTAGTCTGGATGACAGAAAAGCACGTTGCCATAGACTTATAGTGCCTTGCGAAAGTGTTCAGCCCCCCTTGAACTTTTCAACCTTTTGCCACATTTCAGGCTTCAAACATAAAGATATAAAATTTTATTTTTTTGTGAAGAATCAACAACAAGTGGGACACAATCGTGAAGTGGAATGAAATTTATTGGATGTGTCAAACTTTTTTAACAAATAAAAAACTGAAAAGTGGGGCGTGCAATATTATTCGTCCCCCTTGCGTTAATACTTTGTAGCGCCGCCTTTTGCTGCAGTTCCAGCTGCAAGTCTCTTGGGGTTTGTCTCTATCAGTTTTGAACATGGAGACACTGAAATTCTTGCCCATTCTTCTTTGTAAAACAGCTTGAGCTCAGTGAGGTTGGATGGAGAGCGTTTGTGAACAGCAGTCTTCAGCTCTTTCCACAGATTCTCGATTGGATTCAGGTCTGGACTTTGATTTGGCCATTCCAACACCTGGATACGTTTATTTGTGAACCATTCCATTGTAGATGTGTCTTTATGTTTTGGATCATTGTCTTGTTGGAAGATAAATCTCCGTCCCAGTCTCAGGTCTCTTGCAGACTCAAACAGGTTTTCTCCCAGAATGGTCCTGTATTTGGCCCCATCCATCTTCCCATCAATTCTGACCATCTTCCCTGTCCCTGCTGACGAAAAGCAGGCCCAAACCATGATGCTGCCACCACCATGTTTGACAGTGGGGATGGTGTGTTCAGGGTGATGAGTGCTGTTGCTTTTACGCCAAACATATCGTTTTGCATTGTGGCCAAACAGTTGGAATTTGGTTTCATGTGACCAGAGCACCTTCTTCCACATGTTTGGTGTCTCCCAGGTGCTTGTGACAAACTTTAAACTACACTTTTTATGGATATCTTTGAGAAATGGCTTTCTTCTTGCCACTCTTCCATGAAGGCCAGATTTGTGCAGTGTACGACTGATTGTTGTCCTATGGACAGACTCTCCCACCTCAGCTGTAGATCTCTGCAGTTCATCCAGAGTGATCATGGGCCTCTTGGCTCCATCTCTGATCAGTCTTCTCCTTGTTCCAGATGAAAGTTTAGAGGGACGGCCGGGTCTTGGTAGATTTGCAGTGGTCTGATACTCCTTCCATTTCAATATGATTGCTTGCACAGTGCTCCTTGGGATGTTTAAAGCTTGGGAAATCTTTTTGGATCCAAATCCACCTTTAAACTTCTCCACAACAGTATCTCGGACCTGCCTGGTGTGTTCCTTGGTCTTCATGATGCTCTCTGCACTTTGAACAGAACCCTGAGACTATCACAGAGCAGGTGCATTTATACAGAGACTTGATTACACACAGGTGGATTCTATTTATCATCATCAGTCATTTGGGACAACATTGGATCATTCATAGATCCTCACTGAACTTCTGGAGTGAGTTTGCTGCACTGAAAGTAAAGGGGACGAATAATATTGCACGTCCCACTTTTCAGTTTTTTATTTGTTAAAAAAGTTTGACACATCCAATGAATTTCATTCCACTTCACGATTGTGTCCCACTTGTTGTCGATTCTTCACAAAAAATTTGAATTTTATATCTTTATGTTTGAAGCCTGAAATGTGGCAAAAGGTTGAAAAGTTCAAGGGCGCTGAAGACAAGGCACTGTATGTAAGGTGAGATGTTCCAGAAAGACAATGATGAGAACATAAAACCTTCCTGGGATCAGTAGATGTTTGTTAAAGTTTGAAAACAAAAAAATGAATTTTCTCCAAACATTGGTTTGTGTCTGCCCGCTTTCCAAATTGTGGCAACAAAGTGTCAGACTAGTTTAAATTTTCAAGGGGGTCCCAGGCTTTCTTTACAGAAGAGATCTGCAATCTCAGTGGGATTTGCCTGGTTAAAAAAAAAAATTGTTAATAATGTTTTAATCTATTTACTGACTTCTTTATGGGTCAGTAGCAGACTTATGTTGAGAAGTCATGTTTGCAGGCACTGTTTTGACTAGAATTATTATTCTGGTTCATAAAGGAGATTAAATTCTACATGAAAGTGTGGTTGTTGTTTGGGTTATTAATTTTTTTAGAATATCTTCTCTAGCAATTTGTTGATATAAGTTTGAAGATGGTTAACCATTTTCTAATCCATATAAGCCTGTTGGAGTTCCCATTTTTTATATTTCATTGCTTTTGCTCAAAGTCAAAAGCCTCATAACTGCACAGACAAAGACTCTCATTAATCACAAATACATCAACTACAGGTGTATAAAAGTTTGCATTAAGCAGTTGTACATCCATTTGCATAGATTTTTGTGAACATCGATAATTTGCACCCAAATACGAGAAAAATGTGTTCCTGGATGAAAAGTTCTGAGAATATTCCTTTTTTATGATGTATTTTCTTAAATTTTAATAGTTTTTGCCCAGTATACTAATATTCTTTTGTCTTGCCTTAGCCCAGCTGCAGGAAGAAAGCCAAAACCTACGGTTGTTGGTTTAGTTTGTGTTTTCCTTTTGCTGTTTTTTTATTTATTAATTTTGTTTTGTCCAATCTTGACTGTCACTGCAAAGCATGTGGAAATGTTCCCCAGATTTTTTTAAACCTTTTCTACCTCAGAGTTGAACCGTGAAACTTTTTCAGTAACACACAGCACTGAATAAGAAAACGACTAAATAAAATTTTTCTGTAGATGATCGTTGTAATTTTTAAAAATAATCAAATGATTTTGTGTGACATTGTGGTCACACAGTTTAGTTTCCGTGCTTACACTTTGTTACACGTTAGATTCAGATGCTCCTGTAAAAAACTGGAAACTTTAGTGTCTTCAGAGGTCCTAAACTGGAAGTTTTAAGAGTACAAAAAATAAAATTACAACTTAAATCAGTTTTCTGATCTTTTTTTGTTTGTTTGTTTTTACTTGGAATTTGTTTTGGTTCCCAGAAGATCAATCGAGGTCTCAGAAAAGTTAAAGTATCTAACAAATATGTTAATTGGTGATTTTCATACAGATACACACAAAAGTATGATGGACTAAAAATTTAAGAGAAAAAGTATTTTGCAGTGCACCCTTGTGTACTCATTCAAATCAAGTTGATGAAAATATTGACTCTAAAAGTTTTCTTCAGCTACTATGAAATATGCTAATTCCATTTGGCTTCTTTGTACTTGACTCACACATGATTTTGTAAGTCCATAGCTTTATTTAAAAAAATAAGGATGCACGATATTGGATTTTTGGCTGATATGCCGATATGCTAAAACTTATTTGGCCGATAAACGATAACGATATTTTATATACAATTCAAGGATTCAAATTTATTTGTCGTTCCACCAGAACGACATTATGTATACAGGATCCCAGTTACATCCAACAAAAGTATTAAAATGTAAAAGAAGAACAGCAATAAGATCTAAGATATGAATTAAGAAAAACGCTAATAAAAATACACCAAGCACTAGCAGCATTAAATGGCATAAAAAAAAATACACCGAACAGCAGCACCTACATGAGTCTGTGTGAGCAGATGAGTACAAATAAACACAGCAACATGAAATAGTTTAATATTTCCTTTGTCTGAACATATTCCTCTTATTTAGGCTTATTTGCTACAAAAATTTTGTAACAGCTGTAAGAGCTGGTGACATATATTCAGTGACAGCCATATGCATAGCACTTCAGTGTTTCCCCTAGATAACTGTTATGGCGGGACGCTCATCTCGTCCATGATTTTTGTCCGGGGGGGAGAACGGAGACTTGTCCTAAGCTGCGCAGCACGTTGTTTAAACCAACAGTTTTAGAGCAGGGTGTGTGAGAGGAGAGAGACAGACAGACACACATCTCAGCTGCGTGCTGTCTGAACCGACAGTTGGTGTTTTTTTTTGGGGCGGGGGGAGAGACAGAGACGCACATCTGAGCCGTGCGCTGTTTGTACCGACAGTTTTCGAGTGGCGGGGGTGCGTTCAGCTTGAGGGTTCAGCATGAAGGAAGAGGCTGCCTTTAGCTTTTTAGCTAGTGCACCTGCATTGCGAGCCGCTAGTTTAGCGTTATGTCAGTGCAGACAGGTGAGTGGGGGTGGGGTTCGGTAGACAGGGTGCTCAGTTCTGTTGACAGGGCGGGGCGCCCCGCTTGTATAATGGTAGGGGGAACACTGCACTTTAACTTACATTCAATGAAAAGTGTTGAATATTATTTATTAGCATTAGTCACCTGTGATGCTGTCTCACTTGTGGAGGCTTGTTCCAGCTTCCTAGCTGCAGATCCTCTGCACTCCTGTGCATGAAGGACAGACTTTTTAAGTTCAAAGTTTTTGTCTATTGTGCCCTATGACTAATCATGCTAACGGGGCTAACACGACGTCCAAATGTCTGTGGTAAAACTCACCCAAGTGCTATCGGCTGTTAGCTTCTCAATGACGTCGGAAATGACGGCTTGTAACTCGGGTAAGGCTACACTGAAAAAAATATCTTGAGACTGGGGATGATGTAGCGAGGCTCCATGTAGTCCAAAAATCTTCTGAATCTGACAACCTCAGCGAACAAAAAAAAACTTCCACACCATCGGCATTTTGAATTTTCCTCTCCGCCATGATCAGATCAGGTAGGCGCGCGTGACGTCATCACGTTGTGTTGGCGCTGCAGGCATCCTTGTCACTGGGTTGTCATACAAAAACAGCGTCTTTTATATCCTGAGTTATTTTGATGGAATGGCCGATGTCTGATATTTAACTTTAACACTAATATCGTCCGATACCATGCCGATAATATCGTGCATCCCTAAAAAAATGGTATGACACAATTAAAGTTGATACATTTAGACTTTAAAAATAAATATTCAATATGTTCAGTACTTGTCAGATACTCGTAATATCCTGGTGACCTGTGTGTTGCCTTGAAAAAGCCTTAAGAAGAGAGCAAGAAGAGAGCTTTTTTAAATTTTATGTTCATGTTTCAGACTTTGTCTGCCCTTAAAGCCATTTTAAGTAAGAGCTGCAATGATTCAGTTATTGAGAGGAGCTGTGCTCTTCCATCTGATTAATCCACCCTGTTTCTGCATGTCCGGTTTCTTCTTCACCCTTCAACTAACAAAGTTTATTTTGTAAGTGTAAAAATGGCACATTTTCAGTCTGTTTTCTTATAAGTTTGTTCTTTATTTTCATTGAAGGTGGAGATGTGGTGAAGATTGCCCAACTGGCCAACATAGCAGGCGGTCAGACTCGTATCTCACAGCCAGAGACTCCAGTCACGCTTCAGTTTCAGGGGAACAAGTTTACTTTGTCACCCAGTCAGCTCCGACAGCTCACCACCGGACAGCCCTTGCAGCTTCAAGGTACACTCGGTAATGTACATTCCATTGTGACATTTTTTCTCTTTGCATACTCTTTATTTCCTCTCCTTTACTGTATATCTCTTTTTGACTTCCAGGTAATTAATTTGCTTTGTACAAATCTTTATAATATTGTGCAGTTTAAATATAAGCCTTATAAAATTATAAATATTTAGCTTGTCTGTGTATTATTATTTTAAAATATATTACCCTCTCCTTGCACTGGTAATTAGTTCTGACTGAAGATCTTTACTCTTTCTTATTTTTAGTTTTTGCACATTTGTTTTGTGTTTGGTTCCATAAAGGCGCCTCTTCATTGTCTCTGTGTCATGGCTTTAGGCAACATCCTGCATATTGTGTCGGCTCCGGGGCAGCAGATCATACGGCCACAAGGATCCATGGTTTTGCAAACAATGCCTCAAGCTGTTCCCGCTTCCAGCGCTTCAGTAACACCTGGCACACCGCTTCCTGCTCTTTCAACAGCTCAGCAAAGTAACTCTATAACAGCTTGAGTATTTTATTACTGTCTTTGTCTTTGTCATTCTGAAATACATAAATACAGCCGTCATCTGCTACCGGTTTAAATCTAAAAATAAATATTTTACTCTAGGACATAAAATATCTTTCCTACAGTACAGGTGCGCTCTTTCTATATTTAAAGATTATTTTTGTTTGTTTGTTTGTTTTTAGCTCTGGGTATGACAACAAATGCCACATCTTCCCCCACTAAGCATACTGCAGTACACAGTGGTTCTCAGGTGAGTACAAATATTTTTTACAAGTGAATTAAAAGCCAATTGTTGTTGAATTTGGGGTTTATTTCTAAAAGATCGATATAACCATATTTTGCCAGAGAACTTGAGAGGCATGACCTGACTTTTTTTTAATTTTTTTTATTAAATTTATTCATTTTAAAATACAACACAAAAAACAATAATGCAAACTAAGTTTATATAATATATACATAAAATGAAGGGTAGCAGAAGGAAGAAAAAAAATCTTATTTTATCTGCCCCCTCTTACAATAATTCAAATCAAACAACAATCATCTGTTAGTACCTAAACAAACAAAAAAGAAAAAAAGAACAATTCACTATAATTTTCCAACTATAATGCAACATACATAACAGTATTTCATATATATTTTTGCAGTAGTCCATTTTTAATTATTTTCTTAAAAGTAATCGTTGTTTTTGCATTTTTCACTTCAGTTTTCAAACCATTCCACAATCTAATTCCCTGGATTGAGGTTGACCGACCCTTCAAACTGGTTCTGTATCTTGGTTTAACAAATATTTCCTTTCCCTGGAGATTATAACAGCTTTGTCGTTTAATGAAATATATTTGGATATTCACAGGTAGTTCATTTATATGAGCTCTATACATAACTAGTAAAATATTATAATCCATCAAGTCATAGAACTTCAATATTTTCAGTTGATGAAATAATGTGCCAGATGGGTGACAGTAATGTTTTCTAGTGATTATTCTTACTGCTCTTTTCTGCAGCAAGAAAACAGGTTCCGTAAATGTTTTACATGCTTTTCCCCAAACATCAATACAATAAATTATATGTGGGACAATAATTGTGTTATATAACAAATACAGGGCTTTATCATTTAACAAGTTCCTGACTTTGTATAATACTGCAATAGATTTGGCTATCTTTATCCTTACAGAATTAATGTGATGTTTCCACGTCAATTTGTCATCAATGACAACACCCAAAAACTTCATTTCACTAACACGACAAATCCAACACCATCAATCGTAAATGGAACATCTATAATTTCCTTTTTTTTTAACTGAGTATCATGTACTTAAGTTTTACTTATATTTAATGATAATTTATTTAGTTTAAACCAATCTTGTATTTTAACAAATTCTGCCGTCATCAACTCAAACATCTGTTCCATATCTTTACCAAAATAAAAAAAAGTGGTATCATCAGCAAATAAGATACATTTAAGGAGATCTGACACATTTACCAATTCATTAACATACAGAATAAATAGTTTTGTTCCAAGTACAGAACCCTGAGGGACTCCACATGTAATATTACTGAATCTTTTCAGATTAACATCTAGATGATTTAAGATAACAAAAGATATGTTGGGGAGGTTGCGGTAGCTTGATGGTCAGTGCCGCAGTCTTGCAATCCTGAGGTTGCAGGTTCAAGCCCAGGTTGCATCAGAATCCAGCGTAAAGCAAATGGTCAAATCTTTCATGCGAGTTCGCTCGCTGTGGTGACCCCTGATGAACGGAGCAGCTGAAATTAACTTACTTATTACTATGTTGGGAGTTCTCTCAGATTTGACTATGAATGCCTAAAATAAAAGAATATTTGTTTTGTTTATGTAAAGTCAATCATATGGTCTCAAAGTTTAGTTTTGAATTTTGCAATAATGTTCTTGGAAGAACTGAAACAAACGGGTTCAGGATGAAAAGTCTCAAACTGTTTGAAGTTGAAGAGAGGTCAGAAATAACATCAGGCTGCAGGACAGTGTTTCAAAGCACACAAGAATCTATTTCTACTGAGAAACCAAACTAGCTTCAGGTTCAGGTTGTGTTTTGGAAGAATATTATGTAATGAAAATTATGTCTTTTTAATTAGTAATAAAAATAAATGTTTGATTTTTTTCGGTTCATAGAAATAAATTACCTTTATTTGATTGAACTCTTAAATAATATAATTTTCATCTAAGGCCCTACAATTTATTTTATTGAGAAAGGACTGTATGTTCTGTTTATATATATATAAACAGAACATACAGTCC